ATAATGAACGCTTTGGAAGTGAAACAGTGAAATGAGGCAGAAAGGATGCACTGAATTAATTAGCCAAGGCTAATGAATAGAATTAATATGAGAAAGAAAATTACATGCACCCCTCCCTTTATCCCTTCCTGTCGCTGCGCCTCTGATCTCTAACACTCCACCTACAACACACACTTGCATGCAAGCAATTCAGATCCATTTGCATTTTCTTTTTTTTCCCCATCATTTTGTTCTATGTGAGATGTTTGACAGGCAGCATCAATGCAAAAAAGATGAAGTAGGGTTGAGAGAGAGAGACAAAATGGGGGAGAGTTGAGAAAAAAGGACAGTGAATAAGAGAGAAAATGCAGAGAGGAAGCGCAGGACAGAGAGGAGCAGAGAGATGAAGAGAGCAGGTGTTCTCTTTATCCAGCTGCCACTTTACTGATCCTCACTATGAAAGACAGAGAAAGTGATAAACACAAAAAGAGGATATGCATTACCAAACCACTCTCTTTTCCCTCTATGAATTTTTTTTTCTCATTCCTATTCTTATTTATGATCTTTTTTCAGTTTCCAAAGCAAAGCGCCACTGATGTACCCAGTGGGGGTAATACAGAGAAACGATAATAAAATAAAAACCTTCCATTGCACTTATGATTGAATAACCAAATGTGTCATAAAATACTATGCAGATACCTTAAAAGTCTCATGTATTCTTTTACTTTTTTGATAAATTTGCTGTAGTCTATCATGTATTGCTATGCACTGAGAATCATCCTGATACCTGGGAGGGGTACCAGTCAGATGTTTGTACATGCAGGTGTGGGCACTTTTAAGAAAATGTATGTTTGCTTTCAGAAAACGTGCTGATGGGTCAGCTAACAGTATTATTACAGCGATCTCTAATCCTGCTGTTAGTTGCTGTCATTACTCATTAGGATTCAGGAAGCACTGGTTGATGAGTCTGCGTGCTGTTTCTTCTTAAGCATATGGGTCAGATCGTAGTGTGTTTTCTTTTATTATCGTTTTAACACCTGTTGTAGCTTAACTTCATATATTATCTTTGTATTGTGCTCCAATGTGTTTTATCTGACCATTTTATATTTCTTATTTGATAGTTTTATGTATGTATTTTAGGTTCTGTTTAGAGTTTGTCTGTGCTGGACCTTTCAGCCTGTTAATAAATAAATAAATAAGGTCGGTCGGTCGGTCAAAACAACAGTGAAAAAATGAGCAGTGCTCGAACGTGCAACCTTCTGATTACGGGGCAAGCACCTAACACTTGTGCCACCATCGCCCAATGAATGTCTGTTAGTCAATTTCTGTGGTAAAACGTTTTTTTGCTCCTGTTTTAGTTATGAGTTAGTTGGAGGATTGGGGGAGTTGACACACCACAGGTCTAACAGATTAAAGCCGTGGTCCACAAAGTGGCATCATCAAGAATGAGGAGATTTTAAATTTTGAACACCACTAGTGCACTAACCGCGCTCCCCCTCCCCTAAAGGAAAGATCTGAAAGCCATGCATCACACCGCAAGTGCACACAGATTGCCATGTAGTGCTAACGAACAAGTAATGTTTTCATCCTGCTAAGACACAATTGACTCTAACTGGTTTATCTCCTCAGCCTTCAACAGGTTCTGTAGGAGCTGTTGTTCACTTGTTTTAATCAAATCTGCAGTGTTCAAGCAGGGATGTGATGGTAGCACACCTTTGCTAATGCTTCAATGGGCTAAAAGAACAATCCCATGCAGCATTAGGTAGACAATTACACTATATACTTAGCTCTAATACACAACAGATGAATCCCTTTTCGTTCCCCTCCCTCCACTTCCACAGTTAGCTTGAAGTTACCAGATGGACATTAATTCAATGCAGGTCAAGCTAGCATTCAAGCTAGGTTGAATGAGCGTCAGTACATCACCCCATAGTGCACACTAGGGACCAGTGCACTCGTTGACGGATGCCTTCCTTTTGTGGACATTTTTGGTCAAAACACTGAGCTTACATAAATTATTCATTTTGCTACAGAGGCCAGGGGAGGGACTTAAGGGAAATATTACGTAATTATGAAAGACTGGCTACTATATATCTTAAAACTGGGTCAGACAATTAGGTTTATTAAGTTACTTTTAATTATGTAACCCAGCTTTAATATTCATGATATGCAAACAAATCACCTCTGATTGGCTAACAGCATTAAAACTCTTCTGCTGCCTCGGTTTGCTCTTTTTCTTGGGTAAAAAAAATGCGTACGTTGATGTGTTACCTCCACAACTAACACCAGCAACCACCGAATGTGTTGCAACATGTTGGGCATTGCAAAGGGTTAGCTTTAACTAGCCGAGACATGCTGTGCACTCATTTGACAGCAAACTGATTTTTGCCTTCCACAGTCACAAGCCAAAGTGGGTGAGCCAATGAATGCTATTTTTCTCTGTGATATACAAGAGACTGGTGTTTTCTGACCCGATTGTCCTCCTGTCTAGTTCTTTTCCGTGGCTAATGCGCAGTGAACGATACCATTAACAAATCACCGGCAGAATTTTATACACAAATTAAGAAGAAGCTAATTGTTCTGCATCACAACAGGCAACGAATTTATATAGATATTAGAATATACAACATTTAGACACAGATAAACAACACAAGTCCTTCTGACATCCAATTTGTTTCATGCATCTTGTGAAACATATTTACATGTTCACCTTCTGGCTTCTAAAACACTTTCAATCTAGTGCTTTATTCACAAAGAAATATAATATACTAGAAATGCTATTTCAACAAACCAATTTAGAATAAATCCATTTCTCGTATAAAGAGGACACATTGATTCATGCGTAATGGGTTTTCTTGGGTGCATGTGATGTGGTTAAAATATATGATGAGCCATTACTGTATTTATAGGTGTAGTTTCACATTTAAAGGCCCAGAAATACACGCCAACACACAGTGTGTGTAGAAACTTTCACGGTCATCGTAACTCACATAAAGCCACACACAAAACACACATTCGTTTAACGCGTACTTTGCTGTTCCAGTATTTATGTCTTTGCTCCTCCACTCGTTTTGGACATTTTTTGCAATTTCAAGGATCGTTTCCCCGGCGACCACAAAAGCCATTACATCACTTTTACATTACTCACAGTTGGGATGGCTTGTATGTGAGAAGACTATGTGTTCATGAGAGGATGTGTGCAGAAAAAAAAGTTATGGAGAAAATGATACAAATGGGACTTGGGTTGTACTTTTTATAATAACCTTTACATTTGCTGCACTGCTTTGTTTGGCACCGTAACAGGTAATGCAACTGAAATTGTTTTTATTTAGTTATCTTAGCCATTGATTTGGCTGGCAGAATAGTATGTTAAGGTAGAAAATTATTTACTGAGGGTTATTGGCTTAGAAAAAGAAATGTAGCAGCTAAGGACGTCCATAGAGTCCATTTTAATTTGGGTCTGCTAATTATAGTCTTCTATGGCGTCATTTTTCTCACTACCCATTTTTTTCCTTAATAAGAATTTGAATTACTCAATATAAGAAATGTAGCAAGCCTTTAAAGAATTTCTAAACTCCGCAGCAACATAAATTTTACCAGGTAACGATGGTTTCAGATTTTAAAATGTGTCCAATAACTATCTTTTATGTAACGTGGTATAAAAAGGATTTGGGTGTGTGAGGACTTTGGTCTTACTAAAGGCTGTATTCTGTCTGAGGAAAACCTTTGGGGTGAGTCAGGGAACTACAAAAAAAAAAAAAAAAAAACACGAAAAGTCAGTCAGTAAATGTTATAATGGAAACGTTGGTTATGGGCTATTAGGACAAATAAGTGTTCATGTCGTTTATTAGGTTTCTTTAGCAAAAACACACAAAAAACCTACATACTGTACACATTTCATCACATATATTTATGGTATGTCTAGTATGCATAATCGCCACTTCATAACAATGTTATTTTCTGGTCCCACTCCTATATTTATATCAGATTTTAACATCTTGTTGCATCATGTAAGTATTTAGCCTAGGTCAGGGGTCCTCCACTAAATTTGTTTAAGGGCCAGAGTTTTGTCCAGCAGACAATGTGAGGGTCAGATGCTCTTCCAAAATAAAGTTCAAGTATTATTGCATCTTCAATTATTAATATTTAAAATGTTTTTTTATCTAAACTGTTTGATTGTAGTTTTTGTTATGTTTGAAGAACATAAACAATTATTCATATTTGGGACATGAACTTTGCTGCTAAACTTCAAAATCCCCCAACTGGGGGAAAGGTGGAGAGGTCTGGCGGGTTGGATGTGGGGCCCTGGCCCGCCAGTTGAGGTTCACTGGTCTAGGTTTTCATTAATGTAGATGTTCTATTACAAGATAAAGCTACCAAGCCAGTATATAATGTCAGTATTATCAACATTAATTTTTTTATCAATCCAACAAATGGATATAAACATTATAAGTGAGAAATGTTGCAATTTAAAACATTATTTTGAAAAACAAAAATAGAAAATAAAATTTGGAGCAACACATTTTATAAGGTACTACTAAACTAAAGAGCACTCATTAGCATTTACGTGCACCCCCCGTGCTTCATTGTGTTTACGTAAAAATAGCAGAAGCAATCATGGTTGTAGCTGTTTAGAGTTCATGTGTGAATGGAAGTCTATGAATGTCTTTGTGTCTTGGATGTGTGTATTTGTATGTGCGACCCTGACCCGGATTTGGCAGTCGTTTGTAGTGAGCTAATGATGAAGCTTTTTAACATTAAATATATCAGCCAGGGCCTTGATCTGGATTAGAAAACAGCTTTAATGAGCAGAAAGTGGGACAGAAGCACGGTAATAAAAACCAGTGAATGAGGATGCAGGAAAAACATCCGCAAACACAAACAATCTTTAGTGAGAAACACTCATGTTAGAACAACACAACTAAGTTTCTTAGTACTTAATTGGGATAAATTATTGGAAAAGTGAATGAAAACAAAATTACAGAACTGATGAATTATTAGAAACATATAAAGTGACTGACCTCTCATTGAAAGTCTGTTTCCCTTGAGATCGATCCACCCCTGTAGGTCTCTCTACAACAGGAATGGCTGTCTGCAGAGAATGCACAAACACACACACACAGGGAAACACACATTCATATTTAGTATAGATTTGAAAAATATCAAAGCAAGCGTTGGTTTAAAGCTTCTGTAACCTCTAAATAATGTTTTTTGCAAACACAACAAAAATGCGTTTAAAGGCATACTATACTGCATTTTTATTTTTGAAATCCTCTTCCTGAGCCAGTTTGTGTTAAAATGACCCTTTGCGGGGTTATTGAAATGTCACTCTGACCCCCCACCACCCTCTGTGGCCAGAATACTGCACTTGCAACCTCAGAGTGCCAGTCCGGTCCCTGTTGGGCTTTGTAAAACAGGAGCTGACATGTCTGGCGCTGCAGTCTGCTTCCAGCTTGTTTACTACATGTTTAAGATCATGAACACAGCTGTTTCTTTGTTTGATTTAGTGATGAATCACTCCTGTAGACGCTAATAAAGGTTGAGGAAACATTTCAGCTGTTAGATTAAGGCGTTAAAAAGACAAAGGCACAGTGGCGAGATAAGTTCCTCTTTTGTTTTCACTAACGGAACACGGGGTGCTAAAAGCAAGCCAAAATTGACTAGTACTTTAAACATGTTTTATTATCTTTCATGTTTTTACAAACATTAAAGATCAACTTTACTCGTACATATATATATATATATATATATATATATATATATATATATATATATAAATATATATATATATATATATATATATACATATATATACATATATATATATATATACATATATATACATATATATATATATATATATATATATATATATATATATATATATATATATACACACATTTATAGCGGTCCCTAGTAGGAATGTACTCCTTGCAAGACATTCTCTGGAGGGAAAAAGCTGCAATGCACCTGCGCTGATGTACAAGTCAGCCTGAGGAGAAAGCGGTTTTAGACGGCAGGATTTGGAGTCTTAAGCCTAGTTTATGCTTCTGCATCAGCTTCACGAGGGAGAGACGCATACGCAATGACAGAGACATTTTGCTGTCTGACTTCTCCGTCTCCAGGACAACAGAGGGCGTAGCGCTGTTCTGGGGTATGCTGTCATGTATCCAGTCCAGGATAGTGCATTTACTATTGTGTTTATATTGTGTTTTAACACACATACACACACACACACACACACACACACACACACACACACACACACACAGCCTGAAGCGCAGAATACGGAATGTTGAATATCCACAGAGGGACAGATTGAGACAGAATGTCATGCATCTGTGACAGTGTGTGTCCTGTCACCGTGACCCGAATAACCATGCGCCCCGGCTACTTGGACAAGGGAGATCTTCGTTTGGCTGACTGGGTAGTGCGCGTGATTTTCATCTGGGAGTCTGGGGATCAAATCCTGATCGGACCATTTTTTTATATCAGCCACAGATCTCTCTGAAGAACTCAGCATCGACGGCTTCAGCAACACTGTGCCATTCCGTGGATTTTCTCTTAATGTTTGAATGCTAAACTATAGTGATCCTGTTTCTCTTTATAGTTAGTCGGTTTATTATTCTGCTTCCTCTGGCCCTGATGTCTGCATTATCTTGTTGCCTCGATCCCTCGTTGGGTTTTATAGTTTGAATGCTGTAAATTTCTCTTTAGAGTTAGTTTATTATTCTGCTTCTGTACGTTTTTTGGCATTTAACTACTTCCACAATTCAACTATTTACACAATTTTGGTATCAAAACTTTCAGCTCATTCAGCTTCGGCCGGCAATGACTTTTGGTATTGAAATATTTTATACTTTTTGAGATATTCAGCTTTTTCTGCGATTTTTGGTCCCATTGAAATGAATGGGATTGCTCAATTTTCAGCTAAATTCTATCACTTTACTGAATTCTTACTCTTATAGGTTAACTTTAACCTAGAGACTTCATTAAAATTTCAACAAACTCACAAGACTTTCAGCTATTACTGGTTAAAAAATCTTTTACATATCTATTACAGTTTTTCTAAAATCACAGGTAGAAGTTGAGGTATGGCTTGAGATTTTCCGAAAAAATCTCAAAAATTATAATGGGCAGAGATAGGAGCAATGACCCTCCTTTGCTCCATTTCTGGCATTGTCCTGAGAAAACCTAGTCTAGTGAACTAGACCAAATTCTTGCTTTGCAAAGTTTGGTCTAGGAATGCTCCACTGGAACCTCTGCAGCCCCTAACAGCATTCTGGCTGGCCAATCACAGCTCTCTAGAGGGGTTTCAAATAGGGATGCACTGATGGATCGGCATTTGATCCCAATCGGTCGACAGCGCCCCTATCGGTTTTGATCGGAGTTTTAAAAATAGATCTAAGCAGGCCGATCAGGTAGGATTGTCACAGTAACCGGTGTAGCAGTAAACCCCGATTAAAAAAAGTTCACAATAATAATAACCGTCTTGTTTAAAAAAAAAACTACATTATCTCGGTGGATTACCGTGGCTGCGGTGTAGGCGTGGTGACCCTTACCAGCCACCGTATCATCTGCTGAAGTTGCCGGCGGCACATGCGCGCTTTGTTGTTTACAACCAAAACTTTCTTGAAGCTAAAGCTGAAATAATGGCCAAAGGAGGAGACGGCAGCGCTCATGAGGACATGTTTTATCCCTCAAAGAAGACAAAGCCAGTATTATGGGCATCTTTGGACATTTGAAGAATGCCGAGGGAAAGTTGATAGAAGACGGCTATCCTGTTTGCGGCACGTGCGGAAAAAGTGTCTGTGAAAGGCAGCAACGCTTCAAATCTCATGACACATCTGCATGACCATCACCCACAACTCTACAGTCAACGCAAAGCAAGCTAACGTTAGCGTTTTAGCTAAAATGCGTGATCCGAGGATTTGGGTTGAGGGAGAACGCAACGAGTCGCTATATAAAGCAGCCGCAGCGCCGCTACCTGCATATAAACCGTGTCGCGGACACCGCCATATTGAAATGACGCTATGCATTACGGGGCTCCCAGGGGCAGATAAGAGTTGGTCCCTCTCCGAGAATAATTATGAATTTAACAATGATTACTGCCTGATGACATTTTCCCACATCTGCAAAGCTCACTGGAAGGACACAAACCGAGGACAATATTTTCCTGATATAGGGTTTATTACTCAAGTAAGGGTAAAAAATTATCTAATTAGAAGGCTACTTGAGTACTGAGTATCATCTGATCTAATATTTTTTAAATGATGACATCAAACTGACAAAAAATAAGAAGTTATGGGCAAATATTGGTATTTTAAAGACTAAAGGGGAAATATGTGAACAAATAAACAACATAATTACAAAATAACACATTTTAGGCAAAATTTAGACTCAAACTTTGGACAATATTTCCTGATATACAGGGTTTATTTAATTCTGTGAAAATGTAGCACGTTTAAAAAAATACAGCGATAATACCGAAAACCGTGGTAATTTTGGTCACAATAACGTGAGGTTAAATTTTCACACCGTGACAACCCTAATACAGACCATTTTAGATTAGGTTACATTTCCTTTATTCCCAGATTATGTAGTTTGTAGCACTCATTATAATGTTGTAGAAAATTTCTGGCCAATCCACGTGATCGGTATTGGTGATCAGCATTCTTTGATATCGGTATCGGTGATCGGCAGCAAAAAACCTGATCGGTGCATCTCTTGTTTCAAACACATAAAGAGCTGTGATTGGTCCATAATGGTGGGCCAATCATAGTGCTCTATCTGCTTAGTGAACAAATCACAGAGCTTTATCCGCTTTGTGGGCCAATCAGGGCACACTATATGCCTGGTGGGTGGGATGATGCAACAGAGTGAAACAAGATGGCGACAGCTCGTTTGAAACAGCTTTTACATCAATTTTGGACCATTAGAACTTGGGCTTCATTAGAATCAGGAGCAGATAGATGTATTTAAGAGATTATTATTATTTTTTTTAGAAAAAATTATGTGTTTTCTCCTTCTTCAACTGCGGACTGCCTCATTTACCGATGGCTGTTGAGGTGAGTATGTCACATTCATTGTCCAGTAGCATGCGGAGATCATTTGAAAGACAACGGTAGAACCCGCCCCACAACCGAGAGCCGTCAATGGAGCATTGCCAGACTAAATAATACATTTATTTAGTCTGGCTTGCCAGGCTAGAGAAAACCGTAAATCCGATTGAAATGAGACGCACGCTGGCTTGCAGCTAATGGATATACCTTCGTTTGGAGCTATAAATCATGAATAGACTCCAAACATTGTGGTCGTACGGTTCATTTGTTTGAGAATATTTAAATTAAATAAAAATGTCTCTCACCACTCACAAGGCACTTTGCAATGACTATTTATGGCAGTAAGTGGGCGTGGTGAGGGCGGGATGTGACTAAAAAGCAGCTGAGAACCTTTCTAAATACTTTCTGATTCATGAAGCGGAGATTGCGTGCTGCTGTGCGTACTCCATGTTTGATAGATCACAAACCTACTTGGCGTAAGTACTTTTTTTTTTTGCTGAGCTTAATTACGGTTTTAGTACGGATTCTACACAATGTTTGATAAATGAGAACGCTGGTCTTTAATGCAACATAATACTTAAATGATTTTTAAAATAAATGAACATACACCTGTATGGTAAATGGTAAATGGCCTGTATTTGATATAGTGCCTTTTAGAGTCCTGGAACCCCCCAAGGCGCTTTACAACACAATCAGTCATTCACCCATTCACACACACATTCACACGCTGGTGGGAATGAGCTACGATGTAGCCACAGCTGCCCTGGGGCGCACTGACAGAGGTGACAGACAGAGGCTGGTGAGAACTGGTGATGCTGGTCCCTCTGACCACCACCAGCAGGCAAGGGGGATTAAGTGTCTCGCCCAAGGACACAATGACAGTGACAAACTGAGCGGGGCTCGAACCTGCAACCTTCCAATTACGGGGCGAGCACTTAACTCCTGTGCCACCGTCACCCTTGGAATTTTTTTATTATTCCTTATAAACATTTAAAAAAAACTCTACAAATGCACACATGCAAAGACCACC